GGATGTGCTTTCTGCTTTTTGGTTTCAGTGGTAGAATGAGGATGGCTTTTTGAACTATTAAAGTATTATATTGTCTTAACTAAATTTGAATACGTGGTTTACAAGACAAGCAAAATATATGGGAAAATTTACATGTCAAATTTTAGTTTGGACAAAGTGCATTTTTAGAAGATATAAGGAGAGGTTCCAAATACCAGAAATCCTAAAAAATTTTCTAACAATGCCTTGATGTTTTAGATACATCTTTGATTATATTTCTAGCATTTTGTACACATTTAATTTTGTTCCAATTGAGCATATAGTTGACCAGATTAAGTCTAGTAAACATCCAGTTGAAATGAAAGAAATCATTGTTTTTGAGGAAACTCTTAGGATTTCCATGTTGAATTAATTGTATTAAATTTGAGACCTATGTTTATACCTACTGCTAATACCACTTTAATTTTTTCAGCTTTCCACTGATCTCTTAAATAAAATGAGGCAAAATGCAATAAAATACTGAGATCATTGTATAAACGAACACCACCAAAGAGAGGTCAGACTACTCAAACTCAGTTATTGGCTGGCAGGCAGCATGGCCATCAAGTACCAGCTGACATGGAAAAGCCAGAGTTTGACACTTCGGTAGCATTTTGGGGATTTAATACATGATTTTTCTTAGCATCAACTGGATGTAAATGGAATGTTTTAAAGCTGTGGACCTTTTGAAATCGAAAGTTTTATCAAATCAAACATGCATTTTACATTTTTGTTTTCTTGCATGTATACTCGACAAATCTACTTATATTTGGGGTGTAATTAAGAAATATTTTAAAGGTACTTCATTTCTCTGAACAGTTTACATTTTATTATCATTTCATTTTATTTTGGTCTTCCCATGTAAAAATCTTACTCATTTACTTTTAATGAGAAGTGACTACAGGATACAGATTTTGTGGGCATCTTATAATTTCCATTTTATTACCTTATTTTGAATTTTCTCTTCTAGGCTTTTTCTGGAACTGTAATAGAAAAAGAATTTTTATCACCCTCCTTACCACCACACCCAGCCATTTCTCATCCAGTGCTACCCACCATTCCAGAACGAAAAGAAGTTATGTCAGAAGCATCAGAAGAAACAACAAAGAGGGTTTCAAAGTTCAAAGCTGCCAGATTGCAACAGAAAAACTAGGCTCTGCCTAGGAAATGGGAGTTTATATCCTATAGCCTAATTTTGCATTTGTTTAGAATACATATAGCAAAATATGTTATATGTAGTTTGAAATAAGGCATCCTGAGTTAATTTGGCAGCAAGTTCTCTGACCTTTATCGGTGATACTAAAACAAATTAAAGGTTTGACTACTTTAATATTCATCTTGTTTTGTTAATTCCCTGAATACTGTCAACACTCTTGTCTGTTTTCCTTATGAT